CATATTGCCCCCAACAACAATCCGGGTCCTCATTTTACCCACCTCAGACGGATGGAAGGCTGAGTCAACCTTAAGCCTGGTGGGATTTGAACAGCCAAACTGCAGAACTGCAGTCAGCTGAAGTAGCCTGCAGTGCTGCATTTAACCACTGCGCCACCTCGGCTCTATGGATATCCATGGATAGCAAGGACAATTGATCACAATGGTTTGCAGATAAAAATGCAACATTTGTACAATCATTTTCAATCCCTAATACAGTATGTATAATTAATATTAATGCATAATTATTTTTTATTTACTTGAACTCATGTCACACTGTGGGATGTGAGACACTCTGTTAGACCAGAGACAACCCCATAGAAAAATGGCTAACTGCTGCTCTCTTAACCATCCTTTTTTCCTACTGAATCATCAGGGTCTTTCCCTGAGTGAAGGACATTTTCAGCATTGCTTGGTCTTGAGAAGGAAAAAAATGTTAGTTCCCTTTTGAAGTAAGCAGGCTACAGGATAAAAATGTTATGTTTTGTGCAGCTGTAGAGTATGTTGATAGTGACCTCCCCTTATAATTTTTCTTTCATGCTGTAGAAATTCAGGGAAAGAAAGAAAGAAAGAGAGAGAAAGAGAGAGAGAGAGATGGATGATAGATGGATGATGGATGGGTGGGTTTAGAGACAGGCAGGCAGGCAGACAGACAGGATGGATGGATGGAAGGAAGATTCATCATCAAATGCTGATTAGTCAAACAAACATCAGTTCTTCCCCTTAAAAATCCAGATAAGCAATAGATGCAAGGAATAGTCATTTTGGTAGCACCAGGTGACTATCTAGTTTTTTTGCAGCCCATATCTGTTCTACAAAGAAGGATCTCTTCAGTGAACCCCACTTCTGTGATCACCTCTTATTTCTTGAAAAAAAGAAAAGAGAGGAAGCTTAAGAGACAAGCTTCTAAGCATGTGACTAAAGTTTGAGTGATTCACTAGATTTACTGGATTCCTACTGCTGGCTCTAAATCATAGTTTTGAGTAACTGTCATTTAGGCTGTTGAGAGTCAAATGGCATACAAGTTAAATAAATTATCTGTTCACAATAATGGGAAGTCACGGCCATGAGTTCTTTTCCTGGTGTTGCCCCTCGTACACGTTGAATTCTTCTCAAGAGCCTAGAATGTCATAAGGCAGGGGTGTCAAACTCGATTTCATTGAGAGCAGCATCAGGGTTGTGTTGGACCTCAGGGGCTAGGGTGGGCGTGGCCAGCTCGATGTTACTTATGTCAGGGCCACATGTGAACGAGCGTTCTGCCAGCGAAAACGGGCTCCCAAGCTCTGTTTTCAGCTGTGACTGCCTCCTGCAACCCTCTGCCAGCATAAATGGAGCTCATGAGGACTGCACACGGCCCTCCAGAGATCCATTTTCACTGACAAAGGCATTGTGGGTCGGGCCTTCATTGTTTTCTTGGTGGCCTCGTGGGCCGGATCAAAGCACCCTGCGGCCTGAATCTGGCCCTCAGGCCTTGAGTTTGACACCCTTATCATAAGGTATCAGTTTGGCACTTGTGTAGATCCGAGAAGTGTGTCTTTTTACAATTGACATACAGAAAAATTGTCAATGTGCAGATTTTCTAACTTCCACCCAACATTTTTTGATAGCATCCAGTGTGGCGATAACCACTGGGACCACCACAGCAAGTTTAGGGTGTACTCAACTAATCTTTCAACTTTCATTTTCAGGTCTTGATACTTCGTGTTCTTCTCCAATTCTTCTATTCTGCTATCTCCTGGTATTGCCAGATTAATTATCTACACTTTCCTCTTTAAATCTGTTTTGTTATGTGCCAATAATTTATTGGTTTGTATTCAGAAATTCCACAATATTTTAACATGCTCATTTTCTATTTTTCAACTCTCTGTTCACACCAATTTTTCATTACTGGCGCAGGATAATTTTTACAGATGTTCCAGTGAATCATTTTAGCAACTGTGCTATGTCATTCTTTATAATTTGTTAATGATCTTTTTTGCATAAACTACTGAGTTGTTGTGTTTGCCTGTTCGCAAGATCTGCATTTTGAATCATTTGTCATTTTTTCATTATTATTATTATTATTATTTGTGGTTAATCTTTGGTGAGATTTACAGCCTTTGGGGCTGGTTGGTAGCTCAACAGCTCGGGTCCTAACCAAGCACCTAGGAACTGTTAAGGTAACATCGGAGGATATAAGCTGTTCCAAGTAGGGTGGTTTTTTGTAGAATCAGAATGTTCAAGTATGATAAATTTAAAATTTCTGAATAGCGAGGTAGCCCTTTGGGTATTGCTCCAAGGGCTCCAATTACAATCAGGACAAAACACAATTTCTTTTTCCACAGTCACTCAACTTCAATTTGCAAGTCCTGGTACTTTGTGATTTTTTCTTCCTGTTTATCTTCAATTCGTGCATCTTCAGGTATTGCAATGCCAATGAACCATACTTTTTTCTTTTCATTTAACTATTGTTATGTTAGGTGAGTTGTCAAGTGCCTGGCAGTCTGGATTCTGAAGTCCCACAAGATCTTGACTTTCTCATTCTCTAAAACCTTCTGAACTTGATGTTCCCAGTGGTTTTTGCTGTACTCAAATCCAAACTTTTGGCACAATTTCCAGTGAATGATCTTAGCAACACAGTCATGGCATTATTGTTGTTGTTGTTGTTGTTAGGTTAGGCTAATTGCAGTGCAAATAGCTGAATAATTGTGGTTTTCATACCGCAAAAGATGACTGCATACAATATGATGGCTATGCTTACATAATATATTAATTCAAAATGTGATTTGTTCTCTTATTTTATTTTACTATTTGTATTCTGTCTTTATTATTTTTGCAAATAACTCAAGGTAGCAACAACCCTGTGAGGTGGATTGGGTTGAGATAGAGTGACTGGCTTAAAATCACCCAGCTGGCTAAGGCAGGATTTGAATTCATGGTCTCTCGATTTCTAGCCTGGTGCCTTAACACTGGAACAAACTGGCTCTCAGTTTGTGATTAAGGGTGTTCTGTGGATCTAGCAGACATGATTTGGAAGCTTTGTGCTAAACTACTTAGCATAACAGTTGTGTCGTACACAAAACACAAGTCCAAATGGGATTTACTGTACTTGTTTTTGGCAAACAAGTGAATATGAGGCACTATGGTTTATAACCTATGGTTATAGCATAACATAGTGTTTGAACCCCATCCAGAAAGGATGGTTTAGTCATACAAAGTAAACCATGACTTAGTACACAGCATAAATGTAGACATTATTACCATTTTTTGGCAGATTTTTCTGCTCACCTTAAAATAAATCATCTGAAGCTCATTCCAAAGAAACTGAGCAGCTCAAATCAGAATTCTTTTATTCTTCCACGAGTTAAAAAAATATTTTTTCCTCTTCTACTTCCCTTCCTAACTATCATGACTGATTATCTATCACTGTTTCCTGGGAGGGAAAAAACCACATTTCTCAGAGCCTGGAGCCCTTTTCCTCCTCATTCGCAGGCTGCATCTCTCTAGCGATGCCCGTTACTCTCCCTTTCCTGCTCCTTACAATCTGTGAGTATTGGTGGGAAGAGTCCTTAAGACTCCATAACCCTTCATCCTGGGAATGGATCTTCTAGAGGTGGAGCCAGACTTACCATTGAGGGACGAAGGGGCTGTTGGCCAGAATAAGATTATTTGGGGTGTTATGAGAAGGCAGAAAACAGAATACTCTAATTATTCATTCATTTATATCACAGTTTTTTTAACTGGTGAAAAGAGAGGCTTTCTTGCTTGCTTTCAAGTTATTTTTTAATCCTGGCAACTGCCTAGACAAGTCCTTACAATTTTCCTGGCAAAATGTTTGGAAGTAGATTGCCATTGCCTTTTTCCTTTTCCTTTCAGAGAAAGTGGCTGGGCCAAGGTCAACAATAATGAATAATTACAGTATTCATTTTCTGCCCTCTCATAACACCCCAAATAATCTTATTCTGGTCTCTAGCTGGTGCCTTCGCTACTGCATAGCTTGCTGCCTTCACCACTGCATCCAAGTCGCTCTTGGGGTTTTCTACTGGGCCCAATAACTTGTGGGGGAGGGATGGACTTGTCATTCCATCTGAAGCAGGATTGCATGGGAATCAGGCAGTGGTGCAATTCAGCTGGTTCTATCTGGTTTGGGCAAACCAGTAGTGGTGGTGGCTGGAGGCTCCGCCCACCCACCCAGACATCATCATGTCCCATTTTTGACGCTCAGCGCAAACACAAAAGGTTTTGCGCATGTGTGGAGGTAGTGTGTGTGCTCGCATTTGCAAACCGGCAGTGAAGGTAAGTTGATTTCTTCCCTGGAATCTGGCTCTTGGGATTGGCGTGATGCATGAATCCAATCAATTTCAGCAGATTCTGCAAACTACAATAAAGCAAAGCATGGTCTAGCATGACACTGAATAAAGATTTTGTATGCCTGTCAGCCTTCCCTAGTCCAACATCTTCTGGTTGTGTTGGAACTGAAATGTTTGGAGTTCCAGAAGTTACAACCCAACATTTCTGAATTCATCAGGCTAGCCATCTCAGATGTAAGATAAAAAGCTGAGCTTCTCAGAAATAAGATTTCTGAGCTTCTTGGGTGACTCTTCTGTCCATAGTACTGCAGAGGGAATACCTGATCTAAATTTCGTATCATGTTCTCCCTGTTTGTATTCACACAACTTGCTGACCCATCATAAAGAGTAGTGAGAATATGCCCACAGTCTTTTTAATATTTCTTCCTCCTTCAAGGTTCATTAACCAGAGGCAGACATTTAACCCAGGAGAAATAATATAATCTGAATCCAGAGTGACTGTTATTGTTAGAGCTACCAGTACAGGTATGCAAAAATCTAAATGACCACTAGACAGCAATAAAAAGATGTTCAGTTAATCTTCTGCAGCCATCTGATGGTTGTGTCAATTTTTGCAGCCTAGACTGATAGCTGTAACAGTTGGTTTTGGAAGAAACTATGGAGGTTTGGGTTCAAATTCTGGTTTCAATGAAGCCCAACAATTCAGTTTTGGAGAGGACAGAGCACCAAGTAAAATGGCGGCACATTCATCTTTATTCCCTCTGGTCTATGGGTTTGTTTTTTGTACAAATGTAGACTCTCTTTGGCTGGCATTATTCATAATCTTAGCTGGGTTTACCTAATCATGGTTGACTGAGTAACCTTCAATTGGAATGATTTGCACTGCATACATTAAACCAAAACCAAACAAATCATACTTGGCTTGGCACGTTTGGTGATCCAAGCCTCCCCGTTCTGCCTTTTCTTTAGCTCTGCCCAAACCATCCATTGTATGGCACCAAGCTCAAGATGTGATGGAAAAGCACCAGCTTCAGTGCTCCACCGAGGAGGAATACGCAGGCAGCTGGTTCTCCTTATACGTGGGAGGCAGTCAGAAGCTGGTAGCCCAAAAGAAAGCTTTGCCAACAGAATCTAGTGCCACCTTTGAGGTTCATGAGGTTGGCCCAGATGAGCAATTCCACTGTAGCTATGAAATCTGGGAAGCTGGAAAGGCAATCCGTTCTCCGCTCAGCCAGCCTGCAAACATTACAGAAGGTGAGTATTAAGCTGAATCTATTTTCTATTTCCCTCCCACCCTCCATCCATTCATCCCTCCAGCTTACAACAAATTGTAAGTCAAAAACTACATGTACATCCAATAGTTCTCTGGTGCAGAAAGCTGAAAATTGGTTTCTATGAACCTTGTTTTATTTGCTATTCTCTGCAATCAAAAGTAATTTAGCTCCAAAGCTTAAAAAAAGGAAGGAAGGAAGGAAGGAAGGAAGGAAGGAAGGAAGGAAGGAAGGAAGGAAGGAAGGAAGAAAGGAGAATTGCATTCCCTTTTTTTTAATTTTGAAAGGCAACATTACATTTTGATCCTAACTAAGGATCGGTTGTTTGAAATATGTACAGACCTGATCAAACGTTAATCATGCTCCAAATTGGGGCAAGATATGTTTCCCTGAAAAGTCGAACAGGGCCTTATTTTCTTTTGACCCCCGAAATAAGCACTTGGCTTTATTTTTGGAGAGGTCTTAATATTTTTGAGATGCAGGAGGCAGCAAGCGTGGACACCTCATGGCTGCTTCTGTGTTGCAATATTTTCGGGGAGGGCTTATTTTTTTGGGGAGGGCTTATTTTAGTGCATGTGCTCAAAAAACCCAATTAGGCTTATTATTCAGGGAGGTCTTATTTTCAGGGAAACAGGGTAGAAGAGCTTTGAAATGGCAATTACTTTCAGTTTTAAAATTAATTTCAGATTTTAAAATTACTTTCAGTTTGTAAAAATTCTTCAATTCCCATTGTCCTCAGCCAGACAAGCTAAAAGATAGCTTGCCTAGGAATGCTGACTTCTAACTGTACATATAAAACCTTGGTTTTTATCTATGTTAAAAAAAAACCAATAGAAAAAGGCACCTTTTATTTAAATTAGAAAAGCTTGCTTCCAAGAAACAGATCTAGTTACTATTTTGAAAGGAAGTATATTGTTTTTCCTATCTCTCTGCCTGAGGTGCTGGCATATACCAGGCAGAGAATAATTTTTTATTATGTTTTGCTTCATTTGATGCTCTAGAACAGTGTTTCCCAAACAGTTTTAAGATGTGTGGATTTCAACTCTCGGAAGTTGAAATCTACAGATCTTTAAATTGCTGAGGTTGAGAAACATTGCTTTAGAGCAGGAGTGTCCAACATTGGCAATTTTAAGATGTGTGGACTTCAACTCCCAGAATTCCCCAGACCAGAAGGGCTGGCTGGGGAATTCTGGGTATTGAAGTCCACAAGTCTTCAAGTTGCCAAAGTTGGGAAACCCTGCAATAAATACAGGGGGATGGGTACATACATTATAATAATCATAACCAATTAACTTGGTTAGACCTGAAGCTAAATGTAAGGCTTTTGTCTCTTCCAGTGCATTACCTCAAGCCTTCAATTGTTGCAAGTCCCAGCACAGAAATCTTGGTGGGGCAGGACTGGACACTCCATTGTTTGGCTCCCTTTTCAGGTGTCAGTTTCGTCTTCTACCAGGCCAGGGACTTCCGGTATGAAGTCACTCCTCAAGGGAATGCCAACATGGCTGAATTCTCCCTGAAGAATGTCTCAGAGGCCGATGAAGGACGGTACACATGCTACTACCACAGCCTCACTGACCCCGTCATCTGGTCCAATGCCAGCAATCCTGTGGTGCTGAAAGTCCTGGGTGAGGAAAGGCAAGGAGGTTGCCAAAATTAAAGGAGGTGGCTCTTTTCCTGAATTGTACAATGAGTGGAGAATGGTGGCTCCATGTTGGGATTGACTGAGACACAGTTTGATGTAGTGGTTAAAGGTACCAGACCAGAAACTAGGAGACTGTAAATTCTAATCCTGGCTTAGGTGTGAAACCTGGCTAGGTGGCTTTGGGCCAGTAACTAGAAGACTGTGAGTTCTAGTCCCACCTTAGGCATGGAAGCCATCTGGGTGACTTGGACCAATCACCAGGAGCTTGTGAGTTCTAGTCCTGTCATAGGCATGAAAGCCAATTGAGTGACTTTGAACCAATTACCAGGAACAGAATTCTAGATCAGCCTTAAACATGAAAACCAGTTGGGTTACACTGAGCCAATCACCAGGGGATTGTGAGTTCTAGCCTTGCCTTAGACACAAATCCAACAAAATGTTTTAGGATCAGTTCTTCTCAGCTTCAGAAAGAAGAAGGCAAGGGGGGGGGGGAAACCCACTTCTGAATATATTGCTGAGTCAAAACTGAATTTAAAGGCATATTTGGATATGATTAAATTGGCTTATCTCCCACCTAGTAAACTCCCTTTGTGAGTTTATTCTTTTGAGTTATAAAATATACAATTGCCATTTTCTGTGAGATCTTTTGTTTGAAGTAAAGAAAGGTAGCACAAGAAGGGAAAATATTAGATTACTCATAATTTAATTCCTGCACTATTCTCTCTCTTACTTATACATACACACACAACACACAAATGTACACAAAATTTATTTCAGAGAACAGTTTGTTCTCTTGCTTTCTTGGTCCTTTCATTTTGTGTGAAAAAAGTACACGGAAGAGTTAATGTCCTTGCACCCTGCATTATTTGAAATTCCAGTAATCTTTGTCGGAATGACTGTAAATTAATAAAACCGTCCAGCTTTTGTTTCTGAAATATGGTCTGGGGACTGAAAAAAGGGTAATAAAAAGAAAGCTGAGAGACCCCTGAGTTCTTCCTTACCAGCTGAGGGGGACAAAATGGCTGCCACAGCTTTACAATCCAAACCCCATCATCATGTTGACTTTTTGATCTCTTCCCCACGGACTCCATTGCTTACTAGTTTTATTGCCTTTTACAAAATAGTTCATTTTTTTTTCCAGGTAGGTCTGATGTTAGCAGATATCAGGAGGTGATGGTTGACTCTGCAGGGAAGCATCGAGTGAATTGTTCAATGCCCACCGTAGCTGAGGGATGGTTCCATCTTTATGTTGATGGGGAGTTTTTTGCTGAAACCAGAGCGTGGGCAAATGGGACAAGCGCCAGCTTCTGCCTCACAGAAGATGCCCTCAGCAACCTCAAGGGCAAGCTGAGCTGCCAGTTTGGGGAAAACCAACTCAATGACACCATAAGCCAGACACAAGGTGAGCCCAGAGAATCTAAGGGCAGGAGACAATGAGAGGGTGATGAAGGTGATGGACCGTTGAGGTAGATGAGGGTTTGCAAAGCCTTCATCTTGAGGAGCTTACAGTCTAACCCAGTGTTAGCTAACCTTTTTTGTCATTGCATGCCAAAAGCGTGTGCATGCGCGCATGACAGCCCACACCCATAAAGCAATGCGTATGGGACCCCCACCTGCATGCACCCTGTTCCCATGCATGTGCGCAAACCCTCGTGCGACCCCACTCCCTGTGCATGCGCCCCACCCACCCCTTGCCCCATTTTTGGCTTCTAGGTTGGTGTAGGAGGCTTTCCAGGCCCAAAACGGGGCGTGGGGGTGCTCCACGAGGCCCCAAAGTGCAATGCAACCATCTCCCAGTACACACGCTCGCGTATTTCCTGTATGCGCCCCGGCCCCTACACATGCGTGACAGAGCCCCAAATACCAGCTAGCCAGTGGGAGGCGCGTGCACATGCACAGTGGAGCTGGGCTGGGGTGATGGCTGGCATGCCCGTAGAGAGGGTTATACATGTCACCGGGGGCATGCGTACCATAGGTTCACCATCATGGGTCTAACCTTTGAAGAAAATGCTACTGGTTAAACAGGAAGTGTGAATGGCACTCCGCCCGGCTGGAGAGGGGGTTTACCGGGTAGCTGCTCATGAATGTGGTCACCTCATGGCTGCTTTGCCCCTGAGGCTGTGCCTGGCTCTTCGAGAGCCTGTTCCCCCCTCCGGCCAGGCAAAACACCACTCCCCAACCTAGCGGTATCCCGAAGGCACCAAGCAACGTGAGTACCTACCCCCCTGGCTCCCATGGCTTGGTGCCTTCGGCATACCGCTAGGTCGATGAGTGGTGCTCTGCCTGGCCGGAGGGGGGGGGTTGTCCAGGGGGCTTATTTTCAGGGGTGAGCTTATATTTTTGCCCATGCGAAAAATGTGGCAAGGCGTTAGTTTCAGGACAGATCGTATTTTGGGGGAAACACGGTATCTATATTTCTTGATGTGTTCTGTTCACCCACAAAGACATTTGCCAAGACATTCTCCCCTTTAGGGATCTCACTGAGTGGTAGGGGAGAAAATGGGAAATAGGGGGAGGCGGGTGGAGCCTGTGGGACACCCAAGAGTCCACTTATATTAAATTTCACTATAGTACAATTTCAGCTTTGGACAAAGCACTCTCACCAGTACTGACAGGGCAAGCCACTAGCAATATAGCAATAGCACTTAAAACTAATATACCGCTTCACAGTGCTTTACAGCCCTCTCTAAGCGGTTTACAGAGCCAGCCTATTGCCCCCAACAATCTGGGTCCTCATTTTACCCATCTCGGGAGGATGGAAGGCTGAGTCAACCTTGAGCCTGGTGAGATTCGATCTGCCAAACTGCAGTCAGCTGGCAGTCAGCAGAAGTAGCCTGCAGTACTGTATTCTGCCAACTGTGCCACCACAGCTCTAGAATATGAACTGAGAACAAACCCATTCCTTACTAGCACTGATGATGTTACCTAGTTTGGGTAATGAAATGTCTGCAAGAAAACACCCAAGCTCAGAGATCCCCAAGGACCCTTCATGAGTATGCCAACTCAGCCAGCTGTTTGCTCAACAGTTATGGTTAAACACAACGTGGCAATAAATTCTGGTTATGACTAGATTACAAAAGTTTGAAATGTTCCTTCCAGAGAAGATTTAATCAGTTGTGCTCAAGCCAGCCAGAACGAAATTTAAATAACAGTCTTATAATAAAACTATTAAAGCTCAACCATTAAAAACTCATCAAATGCAAACATGTCGTTAAGAAAGTCAGAATGCGTAATAAAGATTTATTGGGGAAATGATTTTCTTTTTTTACAGTATATATGTATTTTTCTTTTTCTTTTAAAGAGTCAATTCTGCTAAGCACTGATTTCACTGCAGCCAATTCCATACGGCTTGGCCTCGGGATCACTATCCTTGTTGCAGCTGTGGCTTTTGTGGCTGATGCGTTTTGGACTGAGAGGCATCAGGGGAACTGAGCCAGGCAATAGCTTCTGAATCAGCGAGATATGTGGAGTCACGCAAAAACATGGCTTGAAACGGTATTTTCTGGTTGCTGAATCCAATGAGAAGAGGGATAACAGTCAAGTCAACTGAAAACAGATTGAAGCTTTCATTACCCAAAACTGTTCATCAAAAAGTCGTATTGAACTTTGAGAAGTGATTGCAAGTCCTTTCTTTAGCACTGTCGTAACTTGGAACAGCCCCTGAGTGAATGGTCTTAACTCGAGAACTATCTGTATCGTAAAAACAATATCACTGAATGATCTTTATGTCATTTCAACAAATTACCCTTAGTAATTTCATCCATTTTCATCTTAAAAGGAATACTTTGGGAGGTTTTCAAATGTATTTTAGCATATGTGGCAACCTTTAAGTCAACTTAAATTTAACTTGTCCTGCTGGGATGGGTAATGGATTCATGCATCATTACCCAAAGAAAAACTGCTTTTTATCCAATTTGAGATAATTTGCCCAGATTTTGAAAGCACTGCTGTAGAAGCTGCCTTCATGTCTGCAATAAAAAATGCTTTTATTTTATTTATGTCTTTGTCTTGTCTGTGGAAGATTGGAGGTAGATCAGAGTTTTATAGATAATTATTGCAGTAACCAGAATATTGTCAGAGCACTCCTCAATTTACTCCCTTACTTCTGGGTAGCTGTATTGAGATGAACAAAATTTCCTGAAACAGGAATTTTGTTCAACTTTGTTTTGTGGACACTTGTTAAAAATATGGAAGGTAGACTCAAAAAATACTGTAGTATTTAGTTCAGGGGTTGATTCCAGCAGTGACTACAGCCGGTTCGCTCATGGGCATACGCAGAAGCAAAAAATAAGATGGCGGCACCTATGGTGCCACTGGGAGAAAAAATTCAAAGACGTGGCAGGCAGGCCTAAGTTGCTGCTGGTTCCAGCGACTCAGGCTGCCAAACTACTACTGGTTCGGCCAAACTGGTCTGTACTGGTAGGAACCCACTACTGATTTAGTTGTTTTATCTGTGAAAGAAAATTACGGTACCACTGATATTTCTCCCAGTGTAGTCAGTTCAGCCAATCAGAGCATAAAATCTCACTGAGAGTAGAAGAGTGGTGTCAAACCTTAGAAACAAGTAGCACCTCCATTTGGCCCTTGCAGCTTAGAATTCTGGGATTTGCATTCCAGCCCTCTATAAAGATTCCCATTTCTTGCCACAGACAGGAGTTTGGGGGGGGGGGGGGTTTCAAGCTGTTTTCCAAAACACCTGAAGGCCAAACAAGGAATAATGGATGGAAACTGATCGAGGAGAGATTCAACCTAGAAATAAGGAGAAATTTTCTGACACAGAGAACAATCAACCAATGGAACCGAAGTTGCCTTCAGAAGTTGTGGGAGCTTCATCACTAGAAGCTTTCAAGAAGAGACTGGACTCCCAGCTATCAGAAATGATGTAGGACAGGGGTATCAAATCCGCGATACACATGATGAATGTGGTCGTGGCCAGTGCGTGATGCATCCAGCCTGCAGGCTGGGAGTTTGACAACCCTGGTGTAGTAGGGTCCCCTGCTTGAGTAGGGGGTTGGACTAGATGACCTACAAGGTCCCTTCCAACTCTGTTATTATGTTATTCTATTACTATCCCTGCTGCCTGTACCTGGCAATATAAGCTAAAAATGGACCCTCATAGGGAAAGGTTTCAGAGTTAAAAATCTGGGAAGACAAAACGGGGGATCTTAAAAATCCACAAATCACAATCCCATGTCCCATTTCTTTCTCCTGTGTGCTGCTCCGGGAATCCAATCATGGGTTAACTTAGCCTTCTAGCCTTGAGACTGAGTATGCA